CTGGAGCATTTTTACCAGCGCATTTTCAAAACAGAACCTCTAAAATTAACTAAGCAGCATCAGCCCGTAAAGCAGCAACTTTCGAATTTACAGTTCAAATGGAATGTACACAGTCCACCGAACACAACACAACACAACACAACAACAAACACCCACCTGCCGAACATCAGTATCCGAGATTCTCTGAAACAAGGACATGTTGGACTTTGAGACGGAAATGAAAACGAAACAATTCACAGAATTTCCAGACGCAGAGCACTTGAACGAAGTTAAGCTTACAGTCTTGTTCGTCGCGCATGGAGGGGTGTGCCAGACGGGATGAGTTATGACAGTGCCGCGCAACGATTACTCCTGACACGCCCCTTCATCCGAAGCGAACAAGGCTGTGTTTGTCCAAGTAACGAACTCATAGACTAGGGCGGAAGCAGCAGGGCCACCTACAAAGAGCTCAGACCGGTAGCCCAATTTCAGACCCCCCCCAGACCAATCGAGCCCTTTGTAGGGAGAAACCTGGTACTACACCTATCTGGGAGTAACACGGCCCTATGCACTGACTCACCCCAGCAAGTGCACAGGCCAAATGCCTTGGAAATGCAGACAGTTCCAAGTGGCAGTAGAGCATTTCAGAAAGGAACTAGTCAGCGCTTAAAGCTTCGTCCTTTCTATGAAATGGAACTACTGACAAGTTAGTAACAATAGGAAATATTCACGCTATCAGAGCTTCGAAATTTCACGCCATCACTACGGTTACAGGGCTTCTGTTAATCGAACATGCTCTGGCTGTGAGGTTCCAGAGATATTTTCGCATGGCATTTACTGACCCAGAAGTCGAAGGGAAAAGGGAAGAGAGAAGGAGGGAAGGAAGGAAAAGAAGGAGGGGGAAGAAAAAAGGGAGGGACGTTTCGCAGTTGACAAGTATCCTGAGATGCATCCTTACACCTGAGTTACCAGGAAATTCCTCTATGGTTAGTCAGGTAGGCGGTTAAAAGCCATTAGGAAAGCAAACTGAATTTAGGTTTCCCTCAAATCTGCAACTTTACGCCATACCCAGAAGCCAAATATCAGTCTGCAGGGGAGTGGAATGTTAGGCGCGTTCATATTTTGCGGTTCAAGTGATTCAGCCACATGACCGTGTCCCGCCACGTTCTACTGGTAATCTTTGGACCGTCACGAAGGTGGGAAGAAGTTCTATCCTGAACGCAACGGCATTAGCAATCCCAGAGGTCCAAAGATGAGCAGTGGAGCGTCGTCCGTCATAGTCAATTGTGCGACTGAATAGCCCAAGTCGCAAAGTATGAACAGGGTATTGCATCATGTTGCCAAGATGCTTCTAAGGAAGCGTTGCGATTGCATCACATGCGCCTTATTTGAAGCAGGAGCTAAACGATCTAATGAGGCAGCGCTGCTCCGCTAGGGCGCTCTGCCATAACGCACATGTAACGTCCAACACTCCAGCTTCTGGCATAGTAGTAAGACCCCACCAGGAGGAAGTTTCTTTGACTTCCACAAAAAAACGGCATATTCTTATTAGAAATATATCCCATGTGCACATATGCATGACTGGCCGCTAGCGAGAAGGAGAATCAGCATCGAAAATTCCAGAAGAAATGGATTTCCGAGAATTTTCAAAAGTTATCCGTTCAACCAAACATGTTTTTGGACATGATGAAAGAATCAACCAAGGAGAAGGAAAGAAGGAAATGATGTGGGCAAAGAGAGAACGGGCCATTGGGACGAGTCGACTGGTTTGCGTAAGACGTTGGGCTCGCTACAAAAGCCACAGTATGCGATAGGAGGAAGCATAAATGCTCCCTTGAAGGCAGTGAGCACGATGGCTGGGGATGGTTGGTGGATCATTGATGGAAAAGCTGAATGGGTGTGGCCGAATGCCTTCTCCCAGCCTTTCCACCAATGACGATGGCAGCAACCGCCCGCCCCCAGCCATAGTGCCCACTGCCTTTAAGTTAGCAATTATCCTGGGGTCTCCTCATCACTACTCTATGCTTCCACCCTCTCGGCGCACCATATAAGAGCACCTGGTAGACGCCACGTTGCGGTGACGTGGCGTAGGCAGTCTTGCAGGCGGTGTCGCGTGCGCGGCATGCACCAGGAGCTAATTCATTCAAAGTAGAGGTGCTACTAGCTAGGAAATACTAGCTAATTTGTGTGCATTGCTGCAATGTGGACGTAATGTCCACGCATTAATGACAGTGTGTGCAGAGTTACGACACAGCCATGGCGAAATAGGTTTTGCAAGCGGCGTCGAAAGCGCGGCATTCGCACCACGGTCAAACCCCCCTCAACATCTCAACAGCGCTGAACCTCAGCTCCCTCCCAACGACTCATACTGCGATGCTGTGACCAGGAAGAGACACTCTGACTCCCCACCACCTAACTAGTAAGCACTCACCTGGAGATCAGTGTTGAGCACCATAATCTTCTCAGTCGAAATAAACAAATCAATCTCAGTACTGGGCTGTATCTCTCCTTCAGGAGCCTGAAATATTGCAATCATTAAAAAATGGCAAGTGAGGCAATGCTAACCACCACCTTCACTCTCGCCACAGCTTCTTGAGCCTGTGCCATCCTCGCCGCTTTGCTGCCACGACTTTCACACATCATTTGGGTTGACCCGAGGTAACGTGCACGGAACAG